TTAAAGATGACCGGTAAGAGGATCTTAACCCTTGGCTTGGTGTTGTCAGCACCACGCTCAGCCAGTGAGCAAACCGGCCATCCCTATATGGGATCCGAACCCAGGGCCTTGGTGTTATCAGCACCACACTCTCCCGAGTGAGCCACGGGCCGGCCCTCTAGTACATCTTCTACTTGGCAATCTGAAATCCAATTTCTCAACTACCGTCCCCCTTCCTTCTAGCTCTCTCACTCCCCAACCTCATTACTCCTGGATTAAATTGGTATTGCTAGTCCCTCAACCCTTCCATCTTCTTCCAATCAATCAAAACTATTGGCTTTCCTTCTTCGGGAATCCAACTTAGATCTCACAATCCACCATCATTTTAACCACTTTTTCTGCTAAGACTCTTAAGTGTTCCAAGTCAATTTCTCCTCCTGTTCTCCAAAGTGATCCACTACTCTCCTCAAACTTCCCAACCACCACTTCTTTCATCACTAATGACTCCTAGCTCATTTACTATCTTACCAAGAAAACAGAGGCTAAAGGCCAAACTGCCCACACTTACTATCTCTTCATTCATTCTTACCATGCTCCTCATTCAAATTTATCACATGCGAACCCATTTTTTCCTTTTCCTTCCTCTGTCAGAAGATAATCCCTTCTCAGATTGAAATCCAGCTCATACATGTATGCCCTTGAAACTCCAGCTTTCTCAGGGACCTTGCTCTAACAAGTTTTCCCCTCCTCTTTAACTTTTGCCTCTTTCCCTTCAATGCTGGTGCCTCCCAAAGTTCCTTCTTCAGCCCTCGTATTCTCACTCTGTATATTCTTCCTGGCCCATCTCATCACTCTTATAATTCCTAATATTGTGTATAAACTGATAACTCCTAAATCTGAAATTCTAGACCTCCCTTTTAACTGCCAAACTATCATTTTCAAACACCTACTTGATGTCACACATAAGTTTTTATTCATGACTATTCATTTTACACCCAAACATTTTCTCCTTCTATAATTCTTCTCTTACCAATACATCTAGTTTCCCAAGCCAGGAACCTGGAAGGCATCACAGATTTCTCTCTCTCCATTATATAAAAGGTCACCATGCCCCAGTAATTTTACCTGCTAAATCTCTTCTTAATCAATATTCTTTCACTGCTATCTATCTCAATGCAAGCAACCTCCTGTCTATGTCTACTTCTGCCTCAATATAAGCAATCATCACTTTTTAAAATTTGCTCTTTTTGCCTTGATCTCAATATCATCTAATTTTTCCTACAAGTACTGTCAAGGTAATATTACTAAATATGAATTTGATCATATTAGTACTCTCTTAAAAAGCTTTTTTTTAAAAAAAAAATCTTTTTTTGGCAGCTGGCTGGTAAGGGGATCCGAACCCTTGACCTTGGTTATAACACCACACTCTAACCAACTGAGCTAACCTGCCAGCCTCTTAAAAAGCTTTAATGGCTCCTAAAAGCGAGAAATTTGTTTTATGAGAATATGGAATACAAACAACATGGGTTACTTCCTCTATCAAGAATGACTCCCCTTCCACTCCCTATTTCTTCTGTTGTAGCTTCTCCTTTTTTGTCTTTTTTCGTGTCCGGCAACAGATCGCAACCCTCAGTGTCGCGCCCGTACCGGACCGGGACCAGCAATGGGATCGCAACCCTCGGTGTTGTGCCCGCACCTCGCTCAGCCAGTGAGCGGGAACCGGTCTGTATGTGGGATCTGAACCCTCGGCGGGAGCGCCGCCACGCTCCCAAGCGGCGCACTGTAGCAGTGTGCCACCGGGCCGGCCCGCTTCTGTTGTAGCTTCTATTCACCCTTTTATCCTGTAAGACTTCGATCAAGAATTACAAACTTTCTCTGACCACACTTCCAGGCTCAGTTAGATTCCCTTCATCTGTTTCTACAACATAATGCCTGTAAATAGGAAGTCTTTTTTCGTCTCCGGCAACGGATCGCAACCCTCAGTGTCGCGCCCGTACCGGACCGGGACCAGCAATGGGATCGCAACCCTCGGTGTTGTGCCCGCACCTCGCTCAGCCAGTGAGCGGGAACCGGTCTGTATGTGGGATCTGAACCCTCGGCGGGAGCGCCGCCACGCTCCCAAGCGGCGCACTGTAGCAGTGTGCCACCGGGCCGGCCCGCTTCTGTTGTAGCTTCTATTCACCCTTTTATCCTGTAAGACTTCGATCAAGAATTACAAACTTTCTCTGACCACACTTCCAGGCTCAGTTAGATTCCCTTCATCTGTTTCTACAACATAATGCCTGTAAATAGGAAATGACCAAAAAGTTCTTATGAAATACGTAAACATAAAGCTTCAGAGGACACTGTCTCTGAAGGACACTGAATATCAATTATACAGAAGTGATTTTAGAAGGCTTTGAAGTAATTTTTAAGGCAAAGAAAAAATTTTCATACAAATATTCTCAATTAGCTAGTACAGCTGTACTCAAAAAAGTTACACTGCTAAAGCGTAAAGATTTATGTTTAAGGACTAGGAAAAATAAGCAGGAAAAAAATTATTGCAGTCATTTAATCATTAAATTTATTATAAAATGAGAGAATGAAATGATAGCCCCTACAAAAACAATTTAATATGCAAAGGGTAGATGTATAAATGAAAACAATAAGGTGCGGAAAACCATGTAGAAAATCCAAAGACAGAAAGCAAATATTAGTAAATAAGGCACTTCCCTTCATCAATATTCTTTTCTTCTGTTTTTCTAACAGACTTGAAATCTTTAACATTCAGCTTATTATCTATTAAAAAAAAAGATTTATAGCCAAGCACCATTGCCAAAAAAAGTGGAAATAACTAAAAACTTGAAATAAAGACTAAATATAAATGCCTTGCTTGAGGAGACTTATAAACAGTTCAGAATGATTATTTTTCATATAATACATGTGAAAACACTGAAAGAAGGTTAACTAGCAAACTAATCTACAGATGAGAATCTTCTTAGACTTACAAATGCTTTACTTTAAGGTCTACCTAGTACCCAAAAAGAAAAATAAAACCAAAAACATACCAGTTCCTTAGGGAACAAAAGCCAAAATTTGGCATTGCTATTAATTTACTAGGGAAAATTTAATTCAACCAAAATATTTCTTGAAAGTCATGGCTTCCTCCCCCCAAATCATCACTATTAGGCTAATTATTTCATCCTCATTTTAAACCTATGACAGTCAAGGTCATTTTTCTATTCCTACAGTAGGGCCCTGAGCAAGTGTCACTGGTTAAGGAGTCAAGATTCTTTCATTCAATAAATTCTTGTATGTACTGTAGATAAAATTAAATATCAAAGAGAATCAAAACAAGAACTATTTTGCCATTATCTCAAAGACTAGGTGCAATTACTAAATATCTCTCTAGTGTTCAAGTAAAAGCTAATGAACTTTAATAAAAGTTCCCAGATTAGGAATGGGTTGAGTTCCAGAACTTTGTAAGTTACCTATTTGGAACCTTGAATGCGTTTTCCAATAGAAATAATGTAATAAACAGCATTAAATTTCTAAGCTAGCCCACAAAAACCATAATAATATAGAGGAACCACAGTTTGTATATGTTATTATTAGAACTGGGAATGGTCAGTTCTATAAATTATTGTTGAAATTACAAAACAGGATTTGACATTTACTAAATGAGGGCATTTCTCTTACAATTAAACAACCTAATTCTTTAAAATTACTTACAACTTTCAACAGATATATGATATAGAGAAAATAATGAAAATATCAAAACAAACTATTGACTATCTGAAAACGTATAATAGCTGTCTTTCAAAAAACAGCACATCTGGTTTCCATCGCTGGATAATATTTGATTACTTTATTAAAGAAATACAAGATGTAGTTTGTTGAAGACTGACAGAACCAAAGCACTTACAGAAAAGTTAGGCTTCCTTAGAGACCTAAAATCTAAACTATTGCGCACGTTCTGATTGCAGAATGTATAAAAAAAAAAAAGGTAAAATATCCAAATAAATATGAAAACATGAAATTCCCTGGTGAATTTTTAGGGCAAACAGTAAATGAAATCGCACGTATACCAAACTACATTAAATAGAAATAAAAATAAAACGATTACTTTTACAGTAATATCACTGAAATATCTCATTTCAAAAATGAGGAAAGAAATTGAGCAGAGTTTTTAAAAAATTTTAAAGAATTAAAATGGCATATTAAGATAAAAAGCCAATAGTGACTAAATGGTAAATAATTTCAATTCAGGAACTATTTGGAGAATTTAATTGTATGTATTATTAACCTGAGCCTTTTGGGTAATACACTTTTTCTCCGACGACTTTCCTATGCATAATCTAATAAAACCACCTTTTAACCCTAATTTTACAGCTGAAAGAAAACTGAAGCTCAAAGAGATTAAGTAAGATGTACTGCTAGAACATAAGTTCACGTGTATTTGTTTTGACTCCAAGCCCGAACTTCTCACCACAGTATTGCTCATAACAATGTTTAACATGGTTACTGTTGGTCTTCAATAAATGTCGTAAATTAGTTGGCTCTGGATAGTTTATTACTATTTCATGCGACTGATACAGAGTTAAGGTGAATGACACATGCCAAGAAGGAAAGCTGTTTCCAGCTGAGTGATATACTATAAACGCAGGAGCACAGATTTCACCACAACGGTGGACATTCGTTTTTAGGAGCAAAAGACAAGCTTTTCAATTCTGACTTGGCTAGTTTCTAATTTGAGAAAGGCCAGAAAAGGTGAGTGTACTATCCGAATTAACTGAGGCCGCTCACTCCACGAACTTCATTCCTAACCTGCGAGGCTATGAGAGTGGAGAAAATCAAAGTGCCTCAGACCTCTCCGACCGAAACTATAAAAAGCGCTTGTGGAACAACCCATCGACCCACAAATCTGGAAAGGTGAGAGTCAAATGAAAATGAGACACGACTGGAGGCCGGGAGTGAAAGCCTGGGTCTAACAGGACTAGGAATGCTCACGGTGTCTTCTCTTGACGTCGGCCGAAGCTTACCTCCTTGACAGGTGGAAATTTCTTCTTACACTCTAGCGACAAGGCCCGCAAGTCGCTCTGCATATTCTCCAGCAGCTTCTTTACCGCTTCGGGACTGTTCGTGCCGGACATGATCTCCTAAGGTCCGAGCAATTTCTCAACGACACAAACAAGCTCCGACACTGCCAGCTCCTTGGGGCGACAGGCAGCTCCCTCCCGGCGCCCTCGGCTCTTGCGCAGCCCGCTTCTAGGGCTCCGCAGCGGTTCTGCCGGGCCTGGGCTGCGAACCCGGAGCGTGCCAAGCTCTCCCCTCAGCTTCCTCGCAACACCCCGGCTCCTCTCGGAGGTTCTCCCCGTAATCGCCCCGCCAGGCTCCGCGGACTCTGGCCGAGGAGCCCACAAGGTGGCCAGGTCCCTCCCCCTGCCGCGGGGCCCGGCCACACTGGGCGTCACCAGCCAACCTGGCAAGAAGCTTCAGCGCCTGCTCCCCAGGTCTCCAAGACTCGCCGACGCCATTAGCCGACTCGCCCACAATTCCGAGCGCCGCCGGGACACGTCAGCTGCACTTCCGGGCACCGCGGGCACCGCCCCCGTCGCTGCCAACCCCGGCCGCGAGCCGCCGGCGGGGCGGGGCCGTGGGCGTGGTCAGGGTCGGGGCGGGCCTGGTTCCGGGGGTGCGGGGAAAGTGTTTTCTCCAACCCCAACCGCGGCACCCAAGTAGGCTAAGGGCAGAGTTTGCGGCGTCAAGATTTGCTTTCTTTTCGGTGACGAGTGCCAGAACAGAGCCGCCGCGTGCTCCGAGGCGTATCTCTTTTCTTGTGTTTGTATTAAATTGTATTTCGGTGTAAACAGTTTGCTTCCTTTTGCATTATCCTTAATCGGTTTTCTCCCTCTTCATTTCTGCCTCCTCGAATCTCTGGACTAGTGGCCTTAAATCAACGTCTATTAATTTTCTTCCCCCTGAGGACCTATATTGCAAGCCCTCCATAGAGCTGTGCAAAGCGCAACTGGTGCACTTACTGCGAAGAAGTCCATTATTTCCTAATCTGTAAAATGACAGATAAAACTGCCCTCTGCTCCAAACCCTCCTCTGGCTTCCCATGTCGCTCAAAGTCGAAATTCCTCCAACCACTTGCCAGGCGCTATGCGAACTGTCCCGCCCTCCTTACCACCTACCTCTCCAGACCAAAAGGAAAGTTTCAGAAGGGTTGGGCTGCTTCTTTTGTTTTGTTCCCTGCTGTGTCTTCGGCGTCTAGAACAGTGCCTGGCACATAGTAGGTAAATCACATATTCGTTGAATGAATGAATGCCCTACTAGAACCAGAAAGTTTTGAGGCTTAAATAAGGAATCGATAGAAAAGCCTTCATTGGGTCTGAAGTGCCAAATAAATGTGAGACAAAAGCTGAAGAGAAAAATCTTCATATGTGCTTCTCTGAAGATTCAGGTTGGTCTACTTCTGCCCAAGGCATTTTGCAAGCATAAAACAAGATAGAAGTAGGAGATGAAGAAATCGGCACCTTCAGACAGCCTAACTGATGGCAGGATTCTCAGTGGGTGGCAATGTTTGGCTGTAACATGGAAGGCCTTGTAACACAGGTACTTTGCAAGCTAAATAATTTCATTTGTTTTTCGTTCTGATAATAAGCAAAGCAAGAATGGAAAAGGTGGCAGATGAGGTAATAGTAGGGAGCACCTAGATCATTTGTGTCTATTACACAACTTCTGAGAAACTTGGCAGCTCCCATATTTATGTATAAGGTTTATGTATTAAAACCTCTAAGTTTTAGCAAAAAAGCTCAAATGGACTATATGGAAGACATTATTCTTGAGGTCCCAGGTACCTGTTAAAAATGGTCTAATAAGGGGCCCAGTAATATAGGGTCAAGCTCTTTTCCTGTGTAGAGAACTTTTGGTTAGTCTTTTCCTTTGTAGCCAACTTTTATTATAAAATTTTAAATCTTTTATTATTGGTAACTTTGGCATGATTGACCCAAAATTATCTTCTTTAGAGTTTTTTTACCTCTCTATTATATAGTTGAGGAAATGCAATTGGAATTCATTAATTTAAAACAATACTTAGGGCCGGCCCGGTGGCGCACTGCTACAGTGCACCACTTGGGAGTGCGGTGGCGCTCCCGCCGAGGGCTCGGATCCCACGTACAGACCGGTTCCCGCTCACTGGCTGAGCCAGGTGTGGGAGCAACACCGAGGGTTGCGATCCCGTTGCCGGTCCCGGTCCAGTACGGGCGCGACACTGAGGGTTGCAATCCGTTGCCGGACACGAAAAAAGACAAAAAGGAAAAAAAATAAAAAAATAAAACAATACTTATAATGATTTGAAAAGTCAAAATTTTCCTAAGGTGTAGCAAATACCTATATCTGGAATTCTGTTAATTTCTTTAAAAAGACACATAGCAGCCTTCTATTAATATAAATAATAGTCCTCTTTCTAAAATGCCCAGAGAGATTGTGCTGTCCCAGAAACAATGCATGACTTTTTGTCAAAACCAAACAAGTTACCAAAGGTAAAAATAATTTTTTATTCTACAGGTTAAGAAAGAAGCTAAACTTAGGAGTTAGCATTCTGAAGAATCATTTCTTTTTCAGTAGTGAAACAAATACTCAAAACATGTTTTTGTTCTTGTGTCTTTCAAAATTGTAGCATACTTATAAATGTTGGTATGGGTATAAAACTATCCTCTGAGCGAAGAATCATTTCTTTTTCAGTAGTGAAACAAATACTCAAAACATGTTTTTGTTCTCGTGTCTTTCAAAATTGTAGCATACTTATAAATGTTGGTATGGGTATAAAACTATCCTCTGAGACTACAAAATCTGTCTTCATTGAAAATTACATTAATAAATGACTGAAAAATTTAACCTTTTATTAACATAAATAATGCTTTTACAGCATTATCACATGGTTAAGCCTCAGGCTCTGAAGTTTAAAAGCCCAAAGTTTCAATCTCAGCTCTGTTGGTTATTACCCAGGTGACTCTAGCAAATTACCTAACCTCTCTAATCTAATCTTCACTAATCTTTGCTACTTAACCTCTCCACATCTTTGAAAGAAGAAAATAAAAGTGTTTTCCTCATAGATGTGTTAACCTCATGAGGTTAAATGAGATATTAAAGATAAAGCACAATGTCTGGCACACATTAAGTTTTCAGTAAATATTTTAAATAGGTGATAGAAAAAGAGAGCTTTTTTGTGGTCATCATTTATGCTATGTCTTTTACTAACTTCTACACACTTAATTTTTCTTTTTTTGGTGGCTGGCCAGTATGGGAATCCAAACCCTTAACCTTGGTGTTGTAAGGCTGTGCTCTAACCAACTGAGCCAACCAGCCAGCCCCCTTTACTAACTTCTAAATAGTTAATTATCAGCAAGTTTTGTTCCTGGTGTCTAACCTTTTAGTTGAAAATTAAAATCCATGTCTTTTTCTGAGCCTTCGTTATGAATCTTTTAGAAAAATTATGTATTTAATGCGGAGCATGTATTCATGTGTAGAAAGAAAACTTGTCTAATGTCATTCTGAAATATGTAACCCTAATGATGAAATACAAATATTACTCAATCTACCTTTCTAGCTGTTCAATGCTTCAGATTTTACCATCATTCATTTATTCTCCTCTTAGACTTTTCTTTCACCTACTCTTTACATATTAGTGTTTCCCAGAATTCTGTTCTCTGCTCTTGTCTTCTCTATTTATTCTTTCTGAGTGATCTTATGCACACCAGTGACTTCAATTACTACCAATATACTGATGTCACCCTGTACAACCTCCATGTTGACAAACATCAATAGAAGATCCAGATTAACAGACATACCACAACATAGATACCATTTGGGTTTACTTACCTAAGGGATACACAAAGGAATTAGTTGCAATATCAGCTAAGAGGTGAAAGTACAAAGTTCTAAACCTTCCAAATACTCAGACCTTCTGGAAATTTAACTTTTTATTCCAGTCCTAGCCTTATACACATAAAGCTGGACAGGTCCTATACATAGCCTTCTCCACCTAGAGAAGAGAGGTGGAGAGACAACTCCACCCAGGCAGGGTAGCTCATCAATCTTGGGATTATACAATGTATGATGTGATTACTAGGGTACAGTACAGAGGATAGTCAGACATGAACAAGTTATTTATTCTCAGCTTCCCTAAGCTAACACAGCCTAGTCGAAGTACATTCCTGAATTTAGCACAATAACAATGAAACAAGAAACTGTTACCTAGATATCTCTGAAAGTTGTGATGTCAGGCCATTATGCAAGATTCATTACTCCAGAGCTCTTGTCTGAGATCCAGACATGAATATTCAACTGCCTGATGGTCATCTTTACCTGGAAGTCTCACTGTCACCTCATATTCCTCCCTGGAAAGGAGTTTGTTCTCTTCATACATTACCTTTCTCAATGAAAAGCACCACCATCCATCTGGTTGCCCAAATCAGGAAGCTGAGAGTCAAACTTGATTCTTCCTGCTCCCTCATCCACTGCATCTGAGCTAAATCAGATTCTGTTGATTCATCCTCCTTTGTAACATTCTCATTTTATTCATCCACTTTTCTCCATTCTCTCCAGCTTGATTCAGGCATCATCATCTCTCACTGGTTTAAAACAAGTTTCCAAAGTGTAATCCCTGCCTCTGGTTCATTTTCAATTTATTTTCTCCACTGATCCCAGAGAAATTTTTTTCTAAAATGCAAATATGAAGCCCTTTTATGATTTGCTATGGCTTTCAGAATAAAGTCCAAATACCTGTATATGGTATACAGTTAGTTAGATTGTTTCAGATACCTCAAGCAGTAGGGGTTCAAAGGAATAATTCATGTGAAAATAATAAAGAAAGGAATTCCAACGATGAAGCCAAGCCCTTTGGAAGTATAGGAAGAGCTAGACTTCACAGAGCCTGGAATGTAGTTTGGGAACTGGAAAGTTCTTGGTATCCATAACTGCTTGATTAATCTCAGCACAGAAGTATTTTGTTTCCTTCTCTCTCCTCCAGTGCTTAACTGTTACCAAGACACATCTACTCTATGTTTCAGTTATATTTCTCCTGCTTCTGCAAACCAATTACCTCATGCTCAATTCTACATGTCATCTGGGTTCTGCTTTCTCATAGCTTCTGCTTCCTCATGACTTCTGCTTCCTTATCACTTCCGTTTCCTCGTGTCTTCTGCTACCTCATGGCCTCTGCTACTTTTCTTCTTTGTGTCTATTTAGCTTCTGTCTCTCTACCTTACTGACTACATACTTTCTCTTTATATGCAATATTTAAATTTCTAAGAAGAAAGAATCTAAGTAGTTTGGCATATTGAATAGAGATGGAGTATTCCAATTTTGCTGTGCTTTTTAATGGACCACCTCCCATGTCATTGAAAAGAATATGAATCAGCTGCCCTTGCAGCTGGGCACACCCCTTGTCCAAACAGCTTCGGTCAAGGTAATTGGTTTATGTGATCAGGGTGATGAGTTCACATGGTACAGAACGTGGGCATCTATGCTGAAGAAAATGCATCAGA